TCAAATGATTAAAGGCTTGCGTCAGAGATTAGGCTGACTATCATAAGACCCATTTACATCATCCAATTTACCATACAGAGTATTGGTGTCATGAATTAAATACATAAATAGCAAGCATAACAAACATCACACTGCAGGTTATAGCAATAATAAACTACAATAGCTAAAAAATATTTATCAATATAAAAAACCTATAATGTGAGAAAAATCTTTTCTATTTCGTTTTCTAGTACTTTGATCTATAACGAACGTTTAACTACGCAGAATTTATAAAACACAGTTTTATAATACACAAGGTGTTTATCGGGAAATCATAAATTAAATTACATATAAAATATATAAAAGAAACATATCAATATTTACAATAATCTAACTTTAAAAGTAGTTCAATACTTTGAACTAGTTTGAAGACTGTTCTTTTGTTTCTTTTTATGTTATTTTAAGAAATAAAAAATATTAGAGTGTAGAACACTTAACTCTTATTTCATGCGTTTGACAGTTTGCGCATTTCATGAATGTGAATTTAGAATAGAATATTCGTAGCTAACAGTACCTACACCGTCTGTCAGGTCGGTTAGTTTCAGTTACTTGAATAAAAATGAATCGCTAAGTGACTTAGGCGCCAAAGCCGACAACGTCTGGACTTTTTACACATTTTTTTTTTCAATTTTATTTATTGTCCAGGTATGAAGAGGAAATTGGTAAAATTGTCTATGGTCGGTTTACCCCGGGCTATTACGACGACGACCTGAGCCGAGGTTCGAACACCTGGCGTGACCATCAGACTAAAGTCGTATCTGTCAGGCGGGAGTTGGCCTTCAACCGCTTCATAATTCCTTACGCGCGTTTGGAGTGCCATCTGCACTCGCCCCCTATCTTCCGGTGAAGCTGTAAAGGCCAGCTGCGGCCAACGATATTAGAGTAGTCCGAAAAAAGAGAATTAAAAATACACTGCTAATCAAGTCATTGTACTCACTGGAATGGGTATATTCCAGTATAATTCCATCGCTGGATTCGATCACTGAGCTAAAATAATGTAAACCGGCCATAATGTACGCCTCCACATAGTTCTGACAAGGCTACAAATAATTGACAAGCCATGACGCGGGCATTTCATTCATCAGTGACCACTAAGGTGACCAAAATTTCTATTGTAAATATGGGACATTTGTGAACTAAAAAATGTCACAATGCTATAGCGGACTTCCCGCTAGCCACCAGCGCTCCACGCCACGGTAACGCTTTTTCGTGACCGAAAAATACTAATACACTTCGTCTATACACTTAGAAGTTTCGCTTCAAAAACAAAAAGGTGAAAATAAAAATGGCGCGTTTTAAAATGCGTTATAAAATTTCCAGGTATGAACTCCAAAACTATTCAACCGTTTGTTGAACTTTGATCTTTGAGTCACTGTATGCAATTTTGTTCAACTTAAAATATTGCATGATTTAATTTACCTTTATACACCATCTTGACTTATCCCGGATGGAGGTGTCAGAGACATTGACAATTATTGATATCATGGTGAACTCTATACTTATCATGCCACATATCGCTAAGTATATTAATATATTAGGACATATAGAAATTTATCGTTTCGACATTGCTCTGTCTGGGCAAAACAGGACAGTTTGAAAGCGGGACTGTCCTGTGAAAACCGTGACGCATGGTCACATTAGTGATCACGCTTTACGCGGAAGCCATATTTACTACACTCATTTTGATAAACAGTGATTGTAGATTTTATTTGCTGGCTGATGACTAATTGTACCTATAAATTGTGGGGCTATTAAACTTTATGATATAATGCGTTCGTGGGGTGGGTCGAGATGACGAAAATACATGCTCTTATACGTACTGAAAGTGCCAAAAAAGTTTGTTTACTAATCAAATTAATGTGACTCACAATGGTCATTTAAATCTGTTTAGTAATAAAAAATGTAATAATATCACAGGACAGTTCACACAGGGTACATACTATACCAAGCTAAGCAAAGCTTATGTTATGGGTACTAATACTTATGTTATGGCTGGTGCTCCGCCATTGTATGTAAACCTTTATCACAGACGGATACACCATTCCATCATCATCCTCTAAAAGAAATATACTCGGCAAAATATGACCAATTCAACTGAATTCAACTTTGACAATATCTTTCACTATCCCATCTTGAATATCGTGTATTAAAACAAATTAAACAATCATACTTATGAATATAAATATTTGCTTTTTACGTGGAATCAAACCCGTAACTAATTCAAAGTAAAGCGGTGTACACAATTAATAAACAGAGGTCAACAATCGTGTCCCATTAAACTCAGAATTTGCACTTTACAAATAGTTATCTCCAGTAATAAATACTTAATAATCTTTATAAGTATCCTTTTAATTATTCTTAAATGAATAAATAATTATATTAAAATAATAGTTATTGTTTTTATTTGTAATAAAATTTTACAAAGAATGCAACCGTCGCGTGATTCGATAGGGCTGAACATTTATAAATTACTTTTATTTTTATCACGTCGGTGTCTGGCTGTCTGCCCGTTTGTGAAAGAATTACAGCTCAAGATTTAAAAAACAAAATGATAGGTGTAGAATAAACACTCTATAAAGCAGTATATAATTTTTTGAGCTCCCAATATGTCAAACATTACTTAGTTGTTAATAAATTACTTAGTTTTTTTTCTAAATACATAATATACATAGAAAATACCCAGACCGATACAAACAATCATACTCTTAAATTCAAATGTTTGTGCCGTGCAAGGAATCGAACCTGCGACCATCGGTGGCGTTGTGTTAAACCGCTAGACTACCGAGGTCGTCAAACTTCATGAAACTAAATAAAAACCCTTCAAAAGAAATTGCCTTCACGTGACCAATTTGCTATGAAAACTTACGTTAACTTTGTAATGTTACTAAGTTGTTTGACATTTTAATTTCTGCTACTAATACAGTATATTTTAAAACTAATTATTGACTATTATAGTTCTTCATTCGGTAATTGCGTTACAAATACTACATAGTCTTTCTATATATATATATATATATTTCTTCAAGGTCCCCTATTTTTCTTTGTCTATTCATATAGTATTGTCTATACCTGTCTATGTTTAGTTACGCGGGCAGTTTTGTCATTCATCAAGGCTTGAAAGATGCTTCTTTTTTATATATCCGACTTTTATTCAGACATTTTTTTGCACTGTTTACGCTAAGTAAGGTGTTAGGTGTATATACCTCCTCACCGATTACGATTTTAATAATAGTTGTTGTCAAAAATACTGATTGACATTGTTGTAAATATATTATAAAAAGAGACAATACAATTATTCTGCAAACATACATATTATTATTATTTAACACATCTCAACAAAAAAGAACCCCACCACAACATAAGGCTTCAAATATGCCTCTATTTTTTATTACAGCATTTTATTCAGACTTATTTTTTTGCACTGTTTACTCTAGGTAAGGCTTCAAATATGCCTCTATTTTTTATTATAGCATTTTATTCAGACATTTTTTTGCTGTTTACATTAGATATATCTAATATTTCGTGGTCGGCTTGCTGTCAAGCAAAAGCCTCCTCTAATCTTTTCCGTTCTGTTTTGTCTTAAGTGATTTTTGGTCCAAAGTTTGCTATTTTTTTACCCTTGAAAATTAACAAAGCGCCATCTAGTTCCACGGTAAGCAGAGATTGTGTTATGGGTACTGATACAAATACTTAGATACTTTTTTTTGATCTGAATGTTTTATTTCTTGAATGTACGTGTGAAAAAATGTAAGTACGTGTATTTGTATCAGTTGTCTAGTACCCATTTCACAAGATCTGCTCAGCTTGGAGTGCCTTGGAGCTAGATGGCGCTGTGTGGATTGTCTAGGGTTATTATTATTATTCTTTACACAAATTTTCTCAGCCTTTATTATTATTATTCTCACTATCGTCTCACTCTGTCAGCTTTTGTTGGTTTTTCCACATTATTATTATATTAGTATAGCCCAGTCTTTTTCTTTCAGTTATTCACTGTCATATCGTATTAGTTAATGAAATGAACATCCACTGAAGGTGTTATTAAGAAGCTATTGAATAACATCACGAAAGCATTGTTTAGAGAAGAGCGACAGTAAACAAGATATTGTTATCTTAGTCATGGAAAAGGCATTTACGTATAGGCGACTTTGATTGAACGATCAGCGTCTTTACTAATATTGTTTCAGCTTTGATGAAACTAAATATAGCAACATATATAGTAACATATACAATACAATATAACATATCGTTCGTCATCACAGTCAACAAACAAATAAATATATAATAATAAAATAAATAAACAATGTATATGCCAGTTCTTTTCAACTGAAAGTGTCACCTGATCTCGATTGTAATGTGGCAACTTAATATTAGGGTTTTTTTTTGTTATCAATGATAGCGGAATGGCGCACCCGCCTGCGCTGACGGTTTATGCTGGCGGGGCACCAGTGGAGGAAGATAAGATGAACATGAGGTCAGGTCAGTTAGCCCATCGTAACGAATTACAAACCCTTGTCAGAGGCCCAACTAATCGAAGAACACTGCTTGGGGTTTTAAACAGTAAATATGAATGAAAATAGATATAAATATATAATAGAAAATAGATCTACATATCTTCTACTTACAAAAGAATTTAGAATTATGATATTCAATAATTTTGAAAAATAATTCATAATTTCTATTATAAGACTCATGTCATCATTACATAGTATAAAACAAAGTCGCTGTCGCTGTCTGTCCGTCCATATGTATGCTTAAATCTTTAAAACTACGCAAAGGATTTTGAAGCGGTTTTTTTCATAGATAGAGTAATTCAAGAGGAAGGTTTATATGTATAATACATGAACACCCGGGCGAAGCCGGGGCGAATAGCTAGTAATGTATAATATACTCATGTCAGATAACTCTAACTCTTTTTAAAAGAGAATTGTATACATGATAGAGTGATATAGTGATATTCTTACCTGACTTCTCTCTTCTCCGCCTCTTCCTGTGTGATGTCTTCCTCTACGGAGTAATCAAGAATTGATTTCACGCCAAACGACCGCAACCTGAAACATGCAAATAAATATATACAAAAATGTATGAAACAAAAGATATATTTCTCTGTCACACAGCGCTCTAGTACTGAACTAAGCTGAGCTTGTGTTATGGGTACTGGACAACTGATATAAATAAATAGATACATTTTTGTGTAATATACATAGAAAACATACAGACCGGTACAAATAATCATACTCATGAATTGAAATCATCATCAATTACAGGTTACGGAGTTATAATGATAAGAATAATAATAATCTCAGGACAATTCACACAGCGCCATCTAGACTCAAGTTATATATAGAAAACACCCAGGCCTATAGAAACAATCATACTCATCAATGAAAATGTTTGTACGATGCTAGAATCGAATCGCAACCATAGGAAGAAAGGCGCTAGTTAAACCGCTAGACCATAAGATCAACATATGTACACTATCATGTCTGTGTACCTCTGGTAGGTACATCTATTTCAGCAATCAAGCAACTTGCTTTAGGACCTGTTTCAGCTCAAGGATAAATTATAACCATAAAATTGCAGGGTACAGAGATGTGGCAGGCACGATATCTTAGTCTTCTGGAATGATGACGTGATAACGTGATATCCGTGCTGTAATTCATGTATATAAGCTATCAGGTGAGCCGTCAGCTTGTTTGCCATTGAAAGCCAAATAAAAATGGAAACATTAACAATCGGGGCAACAATAGCAAAAACAAAATACCTGTCAATGGTTGGCTTAATCGTGTTCTGGTCTTCACCAGCGACGAACTGGCCGTAGAAGGTCGCTTTCATGATGATCTCGAAGAGTCTTTGCCCGACCACTTGGCGGAGTCTCCTCATTAACTGCAAACAAATGAGAAAGAATATTTAAAAGAGATTCAAGTGTTGAGCCTAGTTGTTTGCTAAACCTAGTTAGACTTAAAGTCTTAGATTCGAATCTATCCGACAACTCACCATATGTAACATATATATATATACATAGGTGTATATATCAAAATATGAGTATATTTATATAGTATAAAGCAAAGTCGCGGCCGGCGTCTGTTCGCTTATACCTTTTAAATTACTTAACGGACTTTAATGCAGTTTTCAACAACAGATAGAGTGGATTCAAGAGGAAGGTTTATATGTATAATACATGCGGGTTATAGAATAGGACAGGTGTAGAAATTCATGAGTACGATTGTTTCCATCGGTCTGGATGTTTTTATGTACATTTTGAATGTATTTAAATAAAATCTAAGTATTTATATCAGTCCAGTACCCATAACACAAGCTCTGCTTACCGTGGGACTAGATGGCGCTGTTTTAATTGTACAGTATTATTATTATTACTATTATATGCGTTTGCGTCATAACAAAACGTTGTCAGCCATTTGACAATAATTGAATTTTTACCAATTTCCTCTCAATTTTCGACCTTCCTAACATTTGCATTCGACTGAATTTAAGATAACTCTAACGTTTATTAATTCGGAGGCGAAGTTAGTCGGTTCAGCTTGTTCTTTTATAAAAAAAGTGGATAAAAAACTTGAACACGTAGCGTGATGCCACAGAATACTTGTACATAATTATATCAAAGTAGAGGATAAAATGACTGCACTTCAAACAAAATATTGTACATATAAATAAAACTGGATTGTCTGTTTGTAATATTGAAATAACCGTTTTTTACTACATGCACATGAATATAAATACGGTACATACACCAAAATATCATTTTTTATCATTTTTGTTGTCTGTCTGTTTGTTCCGGCTAATCTCTGAAATGGCTGGGCCGATTTTGATGGGACTTTTTTTGACAGGTAGCTGAGGTAATAAGTAGTAGCTTAGGCTACTTTTACTTTAGAAAAATACTCTAATTAACTTTTTTTGTTAAAATCCCACGCGGACGAAGGTGCGGGTACAGCTGGTATACTATAAAAGAACTACAATATAATCAATTTTAATACAATTAGAAAAATAAGTAGCCTTCTATACATTTTGACAAGTTATTAACACTGCTTTTGGTGTATGTAGGTAATATGAATAAACGTATTTAGTTTGAGGATCATATAAAAGAAAATAAATTAAAATATATTTATCATCAATAATCATCATACAGCATCAAATTATATATCAAGCATGTGTGAGTCATCAGCTGACATACACGTTTACTTTGTGGCTTCACTTTTGTTTTCCGTAGTGCTCCATCTACAATTTTTTGTTGCTCTGCGTCACAACTCACATGACATGACAACAGACCGAGAGTCAATATAGAACGTAATACATTGTAATCGATGGTCGTGAATGCAAACAATATCCTAGTGATTTCTTCCTAAAATCTATTATTTATGTTTATTAAGGAAACAATTCAATTTTTTTGTTATAAAATATATATGTTACACAGGGGGATGGGAGGGGGGTTCTGTCTGTAACTGTCTGTATCTTTTAATAACGCTAGGTGGGGCTTGGCACTAGAAAGGTTGAGAAACACTGGTCTATACTTTTTATGTTGGTCTGAGCCCCATCACATGACAGACCGTGAGTCAATATAGAACGTAATACACTGTACTAGCTGGTCCCCAGTACTCCATCTATACGTTTTTGTTGGTCTTTTTTTTTTTTTTTTCTAAGTCAATTGTGTCCTTTTATTTATAATATTATTGTACAATAAAGTATTACAAACAAACAAACAATACACTGTACTAGCTGGTCCCCAGTACTCCATCTATACGTTTTTGTTGGTCTGTGTCAATATAGTAGAAGGCATTATATTTGCTGTCCCCCAAATGCTCCGTCTATACTTTTTTTGTTGATCCAAGATACATCACATGACGACAGACCAAGAGTCAATATAGGACGTAATACACTGTATTCACTGGTCGTCACGCTACTGCGCTCGTTACAGAGAAAATTTGAGTGATTTACGTCAACCATTCATACGAAGGTTAATACGTGGGTATTGTACGATATATAATAGTATTCTAAGAAGAACCTACATTCCTTTAACCTTAGTTACAGAACTAAAAATATGAAAATACATCTACCGGCAATCCTAGAGAATCTTATAGATAGTTAACTACGTGTACGACCTACAGTGAAGACTTCTATTAAAAACTTCAGCTGTATCAAATCGTAGCGGGAGCCTAAGAATTAAAATAAATCGAAATATATACTTTAAAAAAAACAAATAAAAGGGGAAAAAAATTACGTGTACGAGGGGAGTATGGGGATTGTTAGTGATATGGACTAATGATCCCATTGCTAGCAATGTACCATGTCAGGTTGACCTCCACGCGGTTCCCCCTGGAAACCATCGTGATAAATTCCCTGTAAATTTGTCACAATGGGCTAACTGACTTGACTTCATGTTCAGTCTAACATCCTCCACTGGTGCCCCGCCAGCGTCAACCATTAGCGCAGGCAGATGCACCGTTCCATTATCATCCACAAATTAAAAACTACGTGTGCGAAAAAGAGGTGAAACTAAAAAATTGTTCTAATAATATTAACTATAAGAAAACTTAGAGACAATCTGAAGAAATTTTAGCAAGTAATGGTCCGTTTTTGTCTATTATTAACCTACAACATCAGTATTTGACTGGGCGGACTTTGTTCTCATTAGAAGTATATGCCAATGAAATAAAAAAAATCCCCGTTTGTATACCGAGCTACGCGTCATACGGCGCAGCAACTGTAACTCAAGGCCGGGCCAACAGCCGAATCCGCTCGCTTCTCAACTAAGGCTTCATTCACACGTCGGAGTTGTTAATTAAAATAATTCGATGGTTTTAATATTACGTATATCTTACGAGACCATTTATATGTTGGCTGACTAAGGCGAAACAAAAAGTTTATATGCAATTATGTATTATTTTTTCATCATTTTTTCATATAAAAGAGCTAATTTAACCCATATAACATTATAATAATAAGTAAAAAAAATATATTACAAATTCAAATTCAAAATATCTTTATTTATGTAGATCTATTACAGACTCTTATGATATGTCAAAGCTACCATCAGTTCGGAATGATTTCGAGATGAGAAGAACTAACAAGAAACTCAATATATATTATACATTTATTGATAGCAGGGAAGCACTCCCGGCTTTGTTTGTTAGCGCTCTATAATTGTGAATAATTTCTGTGTGAACCAAAAAATATTTCTCGTACAAACCTAGCAATACACAATTAAAACACCAAAGTAATTTAAATAAAAAAAGTACGATTATTTTAAAAAAGACTCCCGACTCCAAAAATATAAAATAATCTATCTGATATAATATATATTTTTTTAAATAAACAAATTTTCAAATGGTTTTATAAATGACGGAATTACGAAGTACCAAATATTAAAATAAAAGAATAAAACCAAATTGTTAGCAGCGCAAGGCCGATCGTCGTGGAGATCTTTGGGGGAGGCCTATGTCCAGCAGTGGACGTCTCCGGTACTACGATGATGATGATAATGATGATGATGATGATGATGATGAGAGCCTCCTCCTCCTCCTATTTTGGAGTCGGTTAAAAATATTCTCTTGTAAAACTGTTAGTCGTACACTATACATATATTCAGCTTAATAAATATTTGTATAAGTTTCATATTTATATATTTATTTTATCCGTTACCTACGACGTATTGCCACGAATTAAGAAGTTACACTTCGCCATTGAGACTTATTTATATGTGAACATCCATTCGTATAAAATTAACAATGACCTTACAATGTCACGGCCAAGGTTATATTTAAACACACTTCGCTAGTAGTTCAATGTTATTTAGGACTAGCCGTTAACCGCGACTTAGCTTTACTTCCGATGGTCGCGGGTTCGATTCCTCGCACGGCACAAACATTTGTGTTCGTGAGTATGATTGTTTTTTATCAGTTTGGGTGTATTCTATGTATAATATGTAGGTATTTACATTGAATTTTTATATTTTAATTTATTTTGCATTCCATAGAGTTACAATAAAGATGACATAATCATTACATAGTATAAAACAAAGTCGCTGTCGCTGTCTGTCCGTCCCTAAGTATGCTTAAATCTTTAAAACTACGCAACGGATTTTGAAGCGGTTTTTTTAATAAATAGAGTGATTCAAGAGGAAGGTTTATATGTATAATATATGTACACCCATGTGAAGACAGGACGAGTAGTAGCTAGTATTATTTTAAGAGCACTATGAACTATAATAGCAAGTTTACAAGGGAGTGCTTTAAATAATTTGTATAATATTTTTCTGATCTGTCTGTGTATATATACAGATTTTATTATTTATAAGTTATCTGTCAAATATTCACTGAGATTTTAATAATTTTTTTTATAAATAATTTTTTTCAATTATGTATAAATATTACATCGTTTTTTTATAATTTTCAAATATTCCTTTTTTTATATGATTTCAAATATTTATACGCATTTGTAGCAGTTACCTAGCTTAATTTGTGTCTAGATGACGCTGTGTGAATTGTCCTGAGATTATTATTACTAACAATTCCCTTTTCCCCCTGAGATTTCATTATGATCCATTAAAAAAATACGGCCAAAGTCTGGACATCGGTATAAAGTAATAGCCACTAGTAATGTAATCAATAAATTGGACCTAATAATATCTAATTCGCGCACTCGACCATACGAATGGTTTGCGCACGTTCCTTCTTTAGTACACTCGTCGTAACTATAATAATTGATATGCAAAGTTGATTCATTCTGATCGAGAAGCGAGTTTTATGTGAGACTAACTGCACTCGCGACTTCGTCCGCGTGGAATTTAACTTTATTTTTCAAAAATAAAAGTTAATATATATATAAAACAAAGTAGCCTAAGTTACTCCTTATTACATCAGCTACCTGCC